AATATAACATCAGTCAAAAGATTTTGCTTTGATTGTTTGTGAACAGGTGAAGCACTTTTATTGAGACATTTAAGCCATCCATTTCTTCATTAAAACTTCAGAAAGAGCATAATGTGTTGAATTGTAGGACGCTGAAAAAACAAGAGATAAAAAATGAAAGCAACAATGCCCTGAAAACACAGTTGCAGAGATAGCAACTGTATGAATACATGGCCTGGCAAGCAAATCCAAACTACACCTATGCAAAGGAGTGAGTAATCACTGAAAAATCATCTCACTAAAAGTACTTCAGAAGCTCTTGGGAACTCTCCTTTTGATCACAGAAGCCTTATATTACATGGCCTGCTGATCTGTACAGTGTGGAAGTGTGGGATGGGTCTGAACTAGCCTGCATAGTCCCACGTGCTGTGAGAAAACTTCAAGACACTGTCACTGCTGCTCATTTTGTTGCATATTCAATCATTTGGGTCCAATTCTGAAGCTGGGCGGTTTGATCATGACCACCACTATCCTCAGCTGCTTTCAAGTGCAAATCAGGCAGACGTTTTCTCTGCAGAGGAACTCATTCACCCGACTTGGGGGTTGATTTGGTTTATGTGGAAAGTAAACAAAACATGGAGGTTGAAACAGTTGCTGTTGTTTATTAGCTGGCGGTCAGCTGGAGGTGTTAGCCATGTTTTTGAACATAAATGTAGCAGAAATAAAATGTGGGTTAACTGTACTTGTTTAAAATTTGCTTAACCATTAGCATTTATTTTAGCTGTACAGTGTCATTTGATTACTTGTATCATTTATTTCTTTTCTCAGCCATGATAATGGTGCCAACGTCATAACTTGGCCAATTGGTGTTGTATTGAAAATAGCATCTGACTTTGAATGATGTTTTTGTGGCGCCTCCCGATGGGAAACTACCAAGATTATACAATCCCAATAAGCCTGACATTCTGTGCCACATGTGCATATGAGTGCAGGCGCAGCTCAATATGTGCCTTGATGTGAACAAAATTTGCAGCCACAATGCACCTCCAGACAGATTTACCAAGGCACAGGGTTTTATAAGGAGCTGTGAAATTAGGGAGCTGTCAATAAGCTCAAGACAAAACACAATATGAAAGTGCAATAATGATAAAGTTTCCCATTAAAACATTTCAGAAAGATGGTATTTTACTCTGGCTAAGAAAACAAAGCTTGTAAAAGAATAACGTGGACTGTGAGCGCCTGTTGCAGCTGCATCATGGCATATTTTGTGTGCATCTTCTCACACATGTACATCTAATCCTGAGAGTTTAAATGCATAAACATGAAAGGAGAAATGCATTTTGCATTTTTTCATGCACACATCCCATAAACTGTGTCTAGGGTCATGTGCTAGTTTCTTACATAACATCCTGGCAGAATGTGTCCGATTGTATTATAATATAAAAAAAATACTGTCTATGTTCAATGTATTCTTTACCCTCTTAAAAAATGGCCACAACCCACTGGTGGGTCCAAAGTTTTACTACACACTTCTATAAATTATAAGAATAAGCCAGTTAGTTTTGTAGTCCATGTAATTACTGAATAATAAGCCTTAGTAAGAAATAAGCCTGGTATTTTAAGGATATTTTAAATAAAATGATTTAATCAAATTGAAATGTGGTAAAAAATCAGAGAGCAATAGAGTGAGAGAGAGAGAGAGAAAGAGAAGGAGAGAGACACCAAAAGCCCCAATTTCATAACACAACATTTATTCTAGGAAACTCCAGTTTATACGGGACACACAGTTTTATCTAAATGAAAGACATCAGCCTACGTCAAAGTATACGGGTAAAAATAATGCGCAAGCTTACGATAAATCCACAAAATGGATCACTGAGTCACTCACACACACAATAGTGCAGTCTAAACTCCAGCACAAAGAGCTGAATGACGTGAGGGTCTCTGGAAGTATTGATTAAATGTCATGCTGGAGGTAAGGGACGTCAACGCATGCAAAGAAAGGTAAGCAGCTCAAAAAGGAATTTTCTGGCATGGTAGGAAAATACAATAATCTCATGAGGCACATCTTTCAAAGCCAAAACCAATGTTATAAATGTTGCTGTGTGTATCCATGCTGGACATAGGTTAGATATATATGTTAATACATGCTAATATATGTGGCATTGCCAACTCATCAGCTAAAAAAGGCTCCACAAATAGTTCTTTGAGGAATGCCAAAGAAGAACCACTTTTGGTTCCCTAAAGAATCATGTTTGACAAAGAGATTTGTGAGTGTGAATAACCTTATAAAGGTTTGAAGAACTTCCAACTAATGCAATCTATGATAATCTTAAACTACAGAAGTGTGTACCTGCTGGCAGGTCATGGAGTGCCACCTACAAAGATCTTTTTCCAGATTGTCAGAGTAGAGATGGGCGATATGGCAAAAATATCACATCACAATACTTCAAGACATTTTTACAATACATGATGCCATGATATTTTTTTCTGACATCTATTAAAATGGAATGGACAAAGCAATTTCACATTTAAAAAAGTACCATTAAAAACTATGAATCCAGTTATTTGTATTCAACATTTTGAATACTCTACTGCTCTAATTCCGATTAAACAAGACTAATTATGCTCTCTTTTTAATCAAACAAGCAGTTATTCATTTTTCTTTAATCCACAATATGCTCAGAAAAGCATATTGTGAGATACAGTAATGTAATTTATCACAACAATGATAAACATAGTTATATTACCCAGCTCTAGGTCAGGGCTCTAGGTCAGTTTCTATTTACTACATATGAATACAGTGGCTCTGTGATCAACCCCATACTTTCCCACACTCCTAAAAATTCCTCCTTTACCATAACCGTTGATTGCAATGTGCAACTTCACCACTAGATACCAGTAAATCTTACACACTTCACCTTTAAGTCCTTTAAGTTGCAAGGTGGAGCTCCCACAGATGCTTGGTCAATTGACTGGATTGAGATTTCAAATTTGGAGGCCATATCAACACCTTGAACTCTTCATCATGTTCTACAAACCATTCCCAAACAAGATGTGTTGTGTGGTATTGGGGAATACCATTGCCATGAAGCTCTATACCTGGTCTGCAGCAATGAATGCCCAGACCCAGTGTTTCCCAGCAGAACACTGCCCAGAGCATCTCACTCCAGCCCACAGCTTGTCTTCTTCCCACAATGCCTCTAGGTGCAATCACTTTCCCAGGTAAACGGCACAAACGTACCTGGCCATCCATGTGATACAAAGGAAAACAGGATTCATCAGAACAGGCGATCTTCATCCACTGCTCCAAGGTCCAATATCAATGCTTAAGTGCCCTTTTAGGCGCTTGCAATGTTGGGCAGGGAATTTTGGGCACTTTGACCACTCTGTGGCTATGCAGCCCCATAAGCAGCAGGCTTTATGTTATGACACATTCCTCCCATACCAATTATTAAAAATATCCTTGACTTGTGCCACAGTAGCCCTTCTGTTGGTTCAAACTAGAAGAGACAGCATTCATTTCCCTTGCGCATTGATGAACCTTGGGTGCCCAGCACCCTTTCACAGGTCCATCCCTCCTCAGACTGCTGTAAGTAGATACCCATTACTGATAACCAGGAGCACCTGATGAGGCTTGCTATTTCATAGGTGCCCAGACCCAGTCGTCTGGCCATAACGATTCAGCCTTTGTCAAAGTCAACTATGAAAACCAACTGTTCTCTTACCATCTAATATATCCCAGACCTTGACATGCCCAGTTGTTATGAGACAATCAACATGATTCGCTTCATCTGTGAGTAGTCTCACATGTTTTGGCTTATCTGTGTATATTGTGACTGTAATATGCTGTGCAAAATCTTAACAACAACTAGTGAACGCTTAATATGACATGGTTAAAGACAGATGACAGCACACAATGAGCCATGGTTGGCTCACACACAAATTGCAGACTTCTTTAATGTCAGATTTGCACTTAACAAATAACAAATAGTGTATTGTGCAGTCCTGAATAAATCTGATTGTTTTTCTTATCTGTTTAACACATCTAACATCCTATACAATATGCAGACCAGATCTTTGACAGACATTGCCATGAGTCACTGGTTTATCTCATGGATCTTTCCACTGCGTAATCCCAGTGCCTCAGTTTAATCATCTCTGTAAACTTGTACTACTTGAAGCATAACTCCACAATCCAGCGCGTCCCAGGAGGAGATGAGTTCCCCTTCTGAGCCTTCCTCCTCATGCTTCTAAGGGAGATTTTAATTTGGGGTCTAAACTCCAAGTCTGTACTATATACCATAGAGCAGTAGTGCCTCATTTTGACTTAAAAAGCCTTTCTGTAAAATCCTAATAACTGGAGTTTTTTCCATGCAAGTGATGCATCAATTTAGCTTGATTCAAATGTGTATACAGTTTGTCTTTTTTAACGTTTGTGTTGATACAATACATTTTATTAACGTGGTCATGATGTCCGCTTCTGAATAAACAAATTTTAATACACTGTTTTTAATGTCTTGCCGTATATTTGGGTATTTCTCCCATTTTAATTTTTAAAAGAGCACATTAACAAATGCAGGCTCACAGCATAAACCAGTGACAGAGGATGAGATATGTTTAACTGTATGCAATCCCACTGTTGGCAGTGTTAGCTCCTGAAACGTAGGCTTGCAAGCTGAGAAAAGCAGAGAGGGAGAAAAGCCCGGGCATGGCATGGGAATTCCTCCACTAAAATCACTACACTGACGTTACTTGCTCTAATCTATCGTGCGGCAGATTAACCGCGCGACCAGATTAGAGATGAAACAGCAGCGCCCCTGACACAGCAACACACACACGCTAACAACTCCAGATGTTGAACATTGCCTCCCTGCATAGTCCCATACCCGCACCAAAAGACAAGGACCAGGGGGTCTGTTCAGAAAACCCCTCACTGGCATATTCAGCAGTCAGCTGGCTCACATTCATTTAGACGCCTCTAGAATCACGGCTCTCAATGCGCTGAAACAAGACCATACCTTACAGGGGGTTCAGCCTCAGAGTCTGACTCCGTCCATTAAACGCTGTTTGGAGGGATGCTGTCGTGGATGGTCACTTCATCACTAAAGCCACACGAGATTCCTCTAAAATAAACGCCTGTGTGGGTTCAAGCGTTGAAAAGCGCCGTGCTGGCTGTTAAACACGTGCGCGCGAAATAAAAGTAGAGTAACGTTCCTCGTCCGGTAGTTACAGTCCAAGTGAGAGCTGTGAGGCGAGTTTCTGTACACACAGCAGAGGCAGTGGAGTGTGTGTGTGTGTATGCGTGTGTGCGTGTTGGAGTGTAGAGTGTGTACTCTAAACACTCCCACACTACAGTCTGGCTCAGGGTGGGCGGGGCCTGATCAAACGAGCAGCATTCGTGGGCATAAACAAAAGCGCAAAAATCAACCGATTTTTCCCTCGTTTGTACAGAGGCTGGAGACTGTAAAACGAGCTCATTGGCGGCTAAAGCTGCCAGAGTTTATACCCTTACTTTCTGTTTTATAAAAACCCCATAAATTGTTATAGGCCTACAGTTTTTTAACACTGTACACGTACATGAAAGAACACAATTCTGCGAAGGAGTTTAATAGATTTAGGGAACGTAAATGTTGAGGTTGTTTAAATGACTCACTGGTAGTGGAACATCAGCGAATGTAAAATCACAGGCAACATTTGACCACAAATGAATTAAAAGGGCTCACATCGTGCAAAAACCAAATGTTTGAGTTTGAGTTTGATGTAGTATGTACACTGTTAAAGTTTCCAAACTTTCCAAACAGCCTGTTTTGATTCTGTGTGTGTATGATGTCATGACAACAACATATTTACATAAAATACAAGACAAATAGACTAGATGTTGAAACATTACTTTGAAGGTTTGATTGCATTCGTCCATGAGAGCATTTGTGAGTCAGGTACTGATGCTGGATGATTACAAAGGTCACTCCAACTCATCCCAATGGTACTAAGGAGCTCCATCACTCCACTAAACACAATTCCACTGCTCCACAGCCCAGTGCTAGGGTGGCTTTATACACCTCTAGTTGACATTTGGGCAGGTTGACCTTAGGCTCTTGTGTGGCTGCTCTAGAGTGATGCGCCTTCAAGTAGCTGAATTCACTACAAGAAGAGATGTCTGGATACTTTTGGACATAGTGAAACTCCAATGATTTTTTTCATATTGCATAATGAAACCAAGCCAAAAGAGTGAAAGATCAGTGAAATGTGTGATTACTGTTTAACCATGCAAACGATGAGCTAATTATTCAGTCATATATCTTTAGACTCATTATTCAGTACCTACTATAAATTATTTTGGAACTGCTTTGACATTAGTATGTAAGTTCCAGTGAGGAATTGAAGTATAGTCCCATATACAAGGCTTTAAGGAGTTAAGCACCATTTGCAACTACAGTCAAACTGAAAATGCTGGATTACATCATTAGAAATCAAAAAGCCCTTGGAGGCATCCAAATTAGCCATAATTTGGATCCAAAGACCACACACGCTCCAACAATATTTACCTGAAATAGTATGCTGTAATTAATGTTGTATGAGTCTAATGGGTGGCATTAAAAGATCCACCGAGACTGTTCAGATTTAAGCAGCAGTAGGTCATTATAGCACATCCCTGCACCTCAGCCCAGTGTTGAGTGTTTGTTCTGGATCAAGAACCACCTCTGATGTGATGCAGGTGGGTCCAGTATTCAGACAGAACCAAATAGCTACAGGATCAGTTTGCCTTTGTGAGGTCATCTTTCAGCCATGCATTGAAACATGACTCAGCCTTTAATCTGAATATCTGACCACTGGAGCTCCACACCGCTTTGGTCCTGACTCAGCGTGATTTATCACGAGAGAAGAATTCACAATTGCACACTCATCTTGGTTTGGACTGTTGATGAATGATGTTCTATGATATTTAAAGGAAAAGTCTTGCAAAAAAGTCATTTACAGAATTTCTGTTGATCAGCCAAGACATGTATGGTGTCTTTAGTTTTCCCCTGGAGCAAGGTGGTGAACGTAGCTAGCATGTAATGCCAACCACTCGGATAGCATGACATACTAGCAGGTTATGGCATACTGTTGTCAGTAAAATGGATAAAATCTGAACAAAATTCAGACTTACTTATGGCTGCAACTACTGTTTTTTGCTATGCAAAAACATTCTTTTGTCCATTTTTATAGATAACAGTATGTCTTACAGTGTCAGAAAACACAAAAATCTATTAATATTACTCTTTGCAAGTGTGTTATGATTTGGGTATGCAATTTACACATTGCTAGTTGGCCTCCATTGTTAGCTATGTAGACCATGCATCATTCTGTAATCACTGACTTTGCCCATATTAGGAACATAATTTTTTTATAAGAACAACGAATGGCGTTTTTGAAAATCATACACAATACATTTCACCTCAGAGTGTCACTGGATCCTCTGAATAACAAGGTCATTAAGAACTTAAATTACAAATAATGCTACATCCATGCTACAAGCAAGCTAACACTCCTGTGCACTGAAAAAACATCACATGAAAGTTAGTCCACACAGTTGCATACCAACACCAGCTGGTCAAACTGTAGCCCACTGCTGCCAAAGCAACTCAACTGCCGCATTTTACAAGCCTGTTGGTTTGTGAGGGAAATTTTGATGAGGTCGTCAGTTTTATGATGTTAGTTCATTGTGCAGCAGTGTTAGCTTGCATGTAGCAATAGGCACAATTCAGCTCCTTAATGACCTCATAATTCAGAGGATCTGGTGACACTTAAAGGAAAAATCTGGCAAAATTTATGAGGTTTGGAACATTTCAGTGTTCCACAGGTAGCAGTCATTTTTGAAAACACTATTCATTTTTCTCATAGGGAAGTATGCGCAGATACAGAATTCCTATGACATGATGCCATCTACAAGATGACGAATTCACTGAATGGCACCATGGCTCAGTTGTCTTTTCACACACAAGGAAATGGTTGCCAATATGTGGCTGCTCTATAGTCAGAGTCACACTCTTTGGCTCACATTTCAGTCTCTCAGAACTTTTTATGTGGTAAGATAATGAAATACATGAAAGCACTCTGATGACAGATGATAAAGTGGCTCAAACAGAAAGGCCTCAATGGCAGGTTTATTAGGGTCTTTGCTGGGGACTAGATTTCAGAGGATAATGAGGGAAGAATATTCAGTTTTCTTTCTTTCAGTGCATTCAGTCCAGAGTTACATCACCCGCTTTCCACAATATTCAACTTCAAGGAAACAGAGGCCTGAGTGGCGTGCTTTCACAGCAAAATCAATTCAGCCACACTGGCACCGAGTAACCGTGGCAACCAAGACAAGATTTGTGCCATAGACAATGAACTGCAGGAGAGAATAATGGCGTAAATCTACAGGAAGAAAGGGACATTTGTCCAGCATGAAGACACACACAGCACTGATTCAGGAAACAGTAATAGTGAACCAAAAAAAGCAGAATTGAGGATACAAGGCCCTTTTTTTCAAGAGTTGCATGCTTTCCAGGGCTGTAGTGCATGTCCTTCTTTTAAGTAAGGTGCCGTGAGCTCTGCATGAGTCTTTTTGACCCAGAGAGACAAAAATCAATAGAAAGTGGGAGTTTGTACTGTACTGCTTGTGGACACACCCACACCCTCTCTGAGAGTCACGCCAGCATTTCTCCTGCAGGATGGACAAACTTCCGGCAGGGAATTTCCACTGCTGTGTTCAGGACATCCCTGTACCTTCAGCTCTCATCTTTCTTGCTTGAACTTGTGTTTAGGTTAGATGTCCTTCAAACAGGAGGTTGTTAGCATGGCCCAGTGCAGAGAAAGAGCCAACCAATCTGGAAAAAAAGTAAAAATATGAAGGAAATTCTCTTGAATATTTGGTCTTATTTGAACTTATTTGACTCATTAGGCCTTAATCCAGCTGTAGATAATTCCCAATTGTAATAAAATTATGTAACCCTTCAAACCTCTCAGGGTATTGTGCTTACATTCAACAGACATGGGTTAATCTAATGCCCTATTCCAGTTGGAATAGTTTTACCTGGGGAGGTGCTGTAATTTGAGTGATTGCTAATGAGATCCATTATTTTAGTCTAGTAATATCTGTAGTTTTTACAAGTCTTTTAAGTAATAATTCTGGAGCAAATTAATAATTCTGGCTACTTGGGGTGAGTCGCAGAAATTACACAGATCCTGTATGAATCAGTCAGTCAAATAATGCACAAATTGCCAGTGTGACTAACTTTAAGAGTTTGACTGAGGAACTAAGACTATAGACAATTGGCTCTTACAAAGAAATACTATGACAGATATCTTATACATAGAAACACTTCTTGTTTGTGATTTTCACTGTCCGAAATGTCATTAAAAAACAAGTCAAGGAGAAGACATGATACAGAAGGCCAAGATAATTCTCTGATAGAAATCATTTAAGACAATTATGCAAAGCGAAACCACCACATTGCTGCCAAGGACCATCAGGAAGATTTGGCTGTGATGTGAACAGTGATGCACTGGCCCATTGTGCAATGTTATTGGAAAAACATAATCTACATGTAGGGGTCATCAGAAGTTAACATCTGAAGTATGCAAAACAACATCTAGATAAGCCATAGGCATTTTGAAATCACATGCTGTGGACTGTTAAAGTAAAAACTCTTAGAATTCTTTGGCCACAATCACCAAAGGTATGTTGGGAGAAAAAAGGAACAGGATTTCAAGAAATAAACACCTTGCCAAGCATGATAGTGAGTCTATTATATTTATGGTTTGTGTGGCAGCTAGTGGCACAGGAAATGTTGTGGGTATAGGAGGAATCTAATGTCCCACAGTCAGTGAAGAAACTGAAGAAAAAAGAGCTCAGGTAATCAACCTTGATATTCTTCATGAAGTGAGAGATTAAAGGTTCTGAAGTGGCACTGACCCTCCTCAGAGTAGAATATTATAAAAAAAAATCTGAAGGTAGACCTGTGCTCTTGAACTCTCTGTGAACTTCTTTTCATTTAGAAAATCAACAAATTTGACCAAAGGTGTCCAAACTTTTGCATACAACTGTATATGTACTGCCACTGTCGTAACAAAACCTTGTATTTCTAATTTTGTTATTTACCTAAAATAAGTACTAAAAAAATTTAGAATGTTTTTTCCTCTTACTATGTATTTGAAATATAAAGTTTGGATCTAACAATGATGATATATACATAATAATTTATCTTAGTGTTAAAATGTATAACTGAATAATAAGAGATTAATAA